TGCGAGATTTTGGCTCATTAAATATGACAAAGCAAAGTTTACGTACTCCATCCCACCACTCCCGCCCTGCACATGAACTCGTTTTGTGAAATAAATGTGGTGTCAAAAACTTTGACCAGGTCTTGATACAGGTTGTATGCCTCGATACTCATCCAGACAATAGAGGAGAGTAGGAAATAATGAAGAAGGGCTGCTATGGCTTTACAAACGTCCAGTGAGTCTGAGCCTGTCATGCCGTTGATACCAAATGTAAACAGCAATATGGCGGCCAGGAGGGACACACACAAATACGCTAGTATTTGGTTTTGGCGAAGGCGACGAAGCTTCCTGTCGAAGAAGATCGAAAGTTATGAGAAATAAGGGTTGAGGGAACTATATAGTGAACATTCTAAAGGAAAACATGTATTATTATTTTTTTTATCATATAAGCACCATGGGCCTTTACAGACAAGAAAAGGTAACTTTATTAATGAACGACTTTGGATTGAGAATGGCGAATGCTTTGCCATTCAAACGTCAACCCGACAGAATGGCGCAAAGGGTTAGTGACTTGTCAGCAACTGATTGGCGATATGAAACACACATAAAAAACTATCGTGATTTGACACGTGTCTGGTTACAGCTTTTCTCAGGGATGGACGTCCTTGTACTCAACTGCCTGAGTTTGTATAATACAATCAGATTACTTGAATCGAAATAAGACCCCTTTTCTGACAAACAACTAATACTTTCAGAAATGTGCTTGAACGCCGTGCAGGCTTCACGCTTCTTTTTACAGTAGCCTTAAGCCTCATTCCAACTCATTAATCGCTATTTTATAACAATGCTCGTTTAGGACATTATGGGGATATTACCCTTTCTTCCCTTTCCCCTAAAATCAAATGAAAAGGAAGCAGGTCTGTATTAGGAATCTCTTTGATTCATAGTCTCTTGATCCTCTTTACCTTGAGAGGGTGATGGTTAAAATCGTGAAAAACAGCCCCAAAATAGATAAAGTACATCCAACGTAAGAAATGATTGACAGCGCATTCTGGTGACTCTCTGGGATGTCATCGCTTTTTCGCAAAAGTATCTTCGATTTAAAATTATATCCCGTCTTGAGCATATCCAGATAGTTCGTCACTTGGTTTTCGCCGAGCTCCTAAGCGGTAAGAACATATATTTTCTTGTCAACGTATGGCCCAGAAATGAGCAATAAGTTTTGCTTCTCAATAATTTTAAGACTGTGCCTTGCCTAAATAGGTACCCTTCAGAATGCTCTAAACAAAGATAAAATGTCAGAGGTGAACGTTATCTGAGAATTACGTCAATTGAAGAATGATATAGATGATGTCCCACCTCGAAAACGAAACCTGTGTTGTTAAGCCAAACTGTGGGATACAGTTGGAAATGCACTACCACTCTGAGGTACTGCCAACAGGCATTTTGTATTCGATTTTTAAGTAAAGGAAAATCTTTGGATGGGTCCGTCATGTTTACATCCAGTTTTATCACTATGATGAAGTAGACCCCGCTGAAAGAGACAGGTTATGAATATTAAATGCATTTTAAGGAAGTATCGTTTGTCTCGCGATCTTTTGACCGCAAACTAGTGGTGTTCTTTAGGTTATGAGGTAATCTAGTAAACCCATTACTCTCTAATATCAGTATGTATATTCTCCATACTGTTCTCTACCTATTTCCCAAGGTACTGACGAGGGGAATTGTTTTAACAATTAGGAGCTTTTAACTTAGTGATCATTTTCTTTATTCTCATTATCTTAATTCTTAATGTTTGATTCAAGGAGAAACTAGATGCTAGTCATTTTTAGGGGTCAAAATGCTAAGCTTGTGAAACAAGCAATGATTTATTAATTCATGTCGTGAAACGAGCATTAGTTTTAGAATCGTCATTTGCAATGATGAAAAACCACAACCTAACTTGGTAACTTAGCGTTATTAAACACATGCTTTTCAAAACATCAAAGGAAACTAGTGAATCGACATACTTAATTACCTTTCTTCTTTGTTTTCGTCTGGTTGAAGTACTTCTTTCTCTGTTGCATTAATATCCGGCTCACCAAGTGAAGGAAGTCTGGACGATCAAAATTTCAAGATGAAATGAGAAATTTTAAGACATAAGAATTATCCATATGAATAAGGTCCATACCGCTATTTGTCCTAAGATCATACAGGAGAGAAGAGAGGAGGACTTTTAAAGACATTTTTGTATGAGTGGCAGTAATTCATTCCATCCTGGAATTCAGATTCTAACCGAACTCGTAATATTATGGGACGTAGTTTATAATTTGTCTTACCTGAAGAAAATGCCTTTAGATGTCTTGTTTAAAAGCATAGAATCTCCAAACAGGTTTAATTGGACAAAAAAGTCAAACATTTTCCAGAACTGAAACGAGAAGGTTATGGATAGGAAGATCGCATAGTGTTTGGTCACAACATTCTTGAAAGCATTCTTGAAAGAAAACATTTAATTAAGTAGGTGATCAATACAGCATTCGAAAAAAGAAATTAGAGCAAGATTTTGCAGAATTCGTGGTTTAGGGGACTCTAAGCGAAAAATGACGAGTTTAAAATTCCAAGGAAATTTGCTTACTGTGTAAGCACCACTCACATTGAGACAACTTGCACAATGGAACGTTAAGTTGGAAGTAAATTTGTTTACTTTGACTCTCTCCCAGTCACAATGCTTTACACGTAATATAGTGCTAAGCCTCGGAGTGAAAATTCACTGTGTTTTGTTCAATCTTACTCTGTGCAGCTGGAAGAACAATCAGCAGCTTATCATTACTTACCCCAGCTTTGATGTCATCAGCAAGAATTCGACACGGTTCGCAGTCTTCCGTAAAAAACTCTTTTGTGAAGTTGTGATTTAAAATAACTCCTGATGCACGGTAATAGACTGATACGTTTTCTCCTCTACAAAACCCTGCTAAAGATACAACGTTTAACAAACATGTTATTATAAGTTGCAATGCTTCATAAGTGGTCTTCGCCAGGCCGCGGCACTGAGCGCGTTCATGAAATAAAAAGATATTCACCTTAAGGGACTGGTCTTTATTTATCGCCTGAGAAAAATGAATCTAGTAGAGAAACACCGTTGAAATAAATCTTCAGATTCAGGCCTTTTTTTTCATTTTACTCCCTCTCTGTTGCAAAATGATTCATCTCTAGTGTTCTAGGGTCTCTCAATTCCTGATCATCATTTATTTACACACAGTAAACTGAAGGAAAAATACAATTTGAGTGACTCGCTTGGGAAGAAATATCCGATTTGATAGATGAAACATAAGGTTTATTCTTAGCGTCAATGGTCGACATACAAATGATATCACAAAAGAAAAATCCTTCACTGAAAATTGTGTTCAACATGTAGTCGTGCATCAAATACCCCAAAAGTCATATTCCACTAAGATCACTTGGTACAATATTAAATTTTACTGCTATAGGACTATTGAAAGGTCATGATAAACAGAACTATAGCCAGAGCCAAACATTTTCAATATATTTGTATTGCTATTGAACCAGCTGAACCAGCAATCGGTCCCTTACAAAGAGTTTTGAGATCAATCACACGGTATATCTTGTCACCATTATTTCCAACAGTCAAGAGTACAATTTCATAATGATTCGCGGAATATTAAATGCATTTGTGTGAAATGGCTTGAAATTGGTAATGGAGCGGATCCGAAATAGATATTTAATTTTCTAACATCCCAACGGATAGAAAATGAAAATAATAATTTAATTTATTTAACTCAATTGATAAAGACAAGTTGTCATGTTATAACCCCACAAATGTAGCGCTACAGTTTCTTTGGAAACTGAACCCTTTTAATTATATATATTTTTTTAAAGATTTAGATCGTGTGTCGCGTTTCTTCTCTAATACGCAGTAGTATACTATTCGGTTTTCCATTTCTTAGCATTGTTTGACCATAAAAAACTTTAATGTAAACTCGAAAACTATTTGCACAATTGAAATGAATTGATGGCATCGCTGTCACAAGATACCGTATTTCATGGAACACATCCTGTTCTTGATAAATCTCGCAACCAAACTTACCTATATGCAGTCCAATTAGAATTCCAATCGCGAAACGCAACATTGACGGCTTCATCAGGTAATACCTTAAGGTCTTCTAAAAATAGAAAAATTTTCCCATGTAAGAGGTAAAAAATATTCCAAATGTGTTACATGAAAGTTTAAAACTATAAGTTTGTGAATGTCTATATATTTTTTAACTTTATAGTCACTTTTTTTCCAGTATTTTAATAAATACACTGATACAATTACAAACCAGTATGTAGAGTACTAGATGCAACGGTTTACAGTCAAGTCGCCCGAGAGTCATCCCGCCCGAAGTCATGTCGCCCGAAACCTGAGTCATTTTGCCCGAAATTTTAGCTGTGTCGCCCGAAAAAAAAAGTCAAGTCGCCCGAAGAAACAAATATTAAAAAGATTAGAATTTCAGACTGTTAATAGGCAATAACGTTGAGAAATTTTTATCACTAAAGCGCTCTTTGTTTTCGACAACACCATGAAGATTCTTAAAGCGTTGTTCGTTCTTAACAACAAAGGGAAACGGTGTTCGTTTCCAACAACAAAATGAAGCGTTTTTCGTTTTGTATGTAACCGTTTCTTACTCACGGACGTTTCGTAAGCTTGAGAAACTCTTTCATGGTATCTAACGATACCATGAAGACTGACTACACAGAAATCGATCGTATGCCCGTTTGACAGCTTTAGTCTTGTACAGCCAATCAGATTATTTGAAACATTCTAACAGGAATTCTAATTGGCTTATTGTAGCGTGCTTTATGAGAGTATAGAGCATGCTGACGACACTGTTGTTCGCTTTGGGAATAAGATTTGTTTTGAAAATTGAAAGTAATTCTTGGGGAATTTAACGGATTCTTTATTATAAAACAAATAGAGAAGCCTTGACTGTGCTCTGTTCTGTTGTAAAGCACTTAGGAAGCGGCTAGAGCACTCAAGAAGTAGGGAGAAACACTCGACTACGTCTCGTGTTTCCCCCTACACTTCTTTCGTGCTCTAGCCGCTTCCTGCGTGCTTTACAACAGAACAGAGCACAGTCAAGGCTTCTCTATTTGTTAAGTTACGCTGCATCCGTCCATTTGTTGTTATAGAAACGAACAACGCTTCCCTCTGTTGTTGGAAACGAGCAACACTTTTAGAGTTGTTACTCAAACATATTTCAATTCTGACCATACAATCGATTTCTGTGTAGTTAAAGTCTTCATGGTATTGTTAGAAACCAAGAAAGAGTTTCTCAAGCTTACGAAACGTCCGTGAGTAAGAAACGGTTACATACCAAACGAAAAACGCCTCATTTTGTTGTTGGAAACGAACAACGTTTCCCTTTGTTATTAGGAACGAATAACGCTTTAAGAATCTTCATGGTGTTGTCGGAAACAAAGAGCGCGTTGGTGATTAAAATTTCTCAACGTTATTGCCTATTAACAGTCTGAAATTCTTATCTTTTTAGCATTTGTTTCTTCAGGCGACTTGACTTTTTTTTTCAGGCGACATAACTAAAATTTCGGGCAACATGACTCAGGTTTCGAGCGACATGACTTCGGGCGAGATGACTCTCGAGAGACTTGACCGGAGAAGGAGAGAAAGTTGAGCTATTTCCCAAGAGAATTCAGTGCAATTCAAAATGACTAACTGTTTTGAAATGAGAATAAAGATCTATTCCTTTTCATTGCTTTACCTTGATCATCAGCTATTGTAAACCGTTCATGTTGCAAACGATGAAAATTAAATCATGTATTTAAATCATGGAAATTCAGTGTTGATAAGTCTCTCATTTTGCTGCCAGAATCCCTTAGTGGACAATTAATTGAAGCGGTGCACACTTACCTAAATGAAACCTCATAAATCTATCAAGTTATAACCTTTGCAAGCCACTCGACCAGGCTTCGAAAATATTGAGTCATTTTAAATAAATAAGCGATTTTTTTTATAAAGTAAGGCATATAGAATTAAATTTTTCTTAATTTTAAATTCCTTTTTCCCCAAAGGTACGAAGCATAGCTACACTGGATATCAAACTCTGGTTACAATTCAACTAATAAAACTTATAATAGACCTTGAGTAATACACGAGTATTAAAGCGAGTTTCCCTCTGTAAATGCATTACACTTACTTAACTCTTAAAGCTTCGCTGAGATAAATTGTGATCTCTTTTACAGAATATCTTTTATGGAATTTTCAAGGAAAAGCATTCCTTTTTTTTCAAGAAAGAACTCTTGGTATCGTTCGAACCAAGCTGATTTTTTTGCAATTTAGGTTCATTACTGACGGAAGGAATTAATGACTTGTTCAATGTCAACATTAATCGCCCGTTTACGCTGAACATTGAGAGCGCAATATTTCTGTTTCAATTTAAAGCTCTTTAAGTGAAAGTTTAAAACCAAATGCTTTGTAGTTCTTAGTTTACTACGCTTCATTAAAAATTGTTTTAATAGACATGTATTAAATCATCCTTACGCCATCCTTAGGAGAAAAAAAAAACCAACAATAAGTCGCGTAGATTATTTAAAAAAAAAAATCGAATAACGCCAAAACAATCAATGTTACCTTGCAGTTAAAATTTGTTTCCTCCGCACTGATTCTCGGCAAAAGGGTAAACGTTGACGATGAATTTTTTAAAATTTTAGTCGATCAGAATCAATTTAATTAATAAAGAAAAACGCCGACCCGAATCGTAGTGGTAGATAGAGAGGACGTTTGAAAGGTAAACTACCGCAATTACTGACCAGAGGCAGGTACAACACAGTAATTGACATCTGTCGCTTTCTTTACTCACCTGGCTTACACAAATGAAAATGAAAAGAACTTTCAGCCTAAAAAACAAACTCTACATATAGCAACATAATATAATATGACGCGAGAAGCGACATTGCCTCTAAAAAGACAAAATAACTGAAGAAATACCCCCATTATCTAGTCTAAATTATAAAATTGACGTTCTCAGTAAAATGTTCATTAAGGAAAGCATCAGATATAGGTTCTTTTGTAATTTGTATCTTGTTTGCGACGTTGAAGAACAAGGTGTGAAAATTCGAATTTCGCATAATAATTTTGAACTGACGCTACGACAGGTGAAAGTGTCTTAAGATTTGCTTACTTTTTTAAAATCTCAGACTTTTAGCATTGTCAACATTAAGTCACTGATCGAGCGACATTCCTTCATTGCGCGCGCATTATTTTTGTCAGTTGGGGAGAACTTAATTGAAAATGCTTGAGTCCAAAATGACTCCAGAATTCCTTCTATGCTGTGCTGAACCATCATAACACATGAACTGAGCAATCAGACATAGTTCTAAATAGTCTTTCAGCAACAAGTTAGTACTTCGGTTTTGAAGTATTCTGGGATATTTTAAGCCCTTCAAAATCTTCTGAGTCTCCTGAATTAAACATTAAGTAACTTAGAGATTTTGTCATCATTACAAGATATCAACCAGAATAAGTTCTCTCTCAGTGGAATGAATATCACTATTCGAAATCAAGCATTCAGTCGTAAAAAGGGCGTTTATTTAAAGTTGGAGTTAGTGATTCATAATTAGTAGATACTGATGGCGTTTTTGCGTGGTGGCACTTGTTATTTAGCAATGCCATTGTGGAAATTCTGGGCTCGATTATCTCTGAATTGTGTTAACGAGATCCAATCACAAATAAATTGCCTTTATTTTACTCATAAGGACCTTGGCACGACGTTTTATTTTCGAAACGAACCCATTTAATGGCAGGTAATCGAGGAGTGGATATGGCCCGTGTAAGAGAGATTGGGCACGAAGGAAGGTGTCCAACTGCGGTATGTTTTACTTGGAAACGATCACAATGGAGAATTTTAGCATAAAAGGTACACTTCAGTGAAATGAGAATGAAGGTGGTGCTGGGAAGAAGACTTCAACCTGGCACCCATCATTAAGGCTATACCAAACGGGCTTTCTTGAACTAAAGATAAAGTCACAAAGTAGAAAAAATTGAATTTTTGACAATGTCATTGTGGGCTTCATCTAACGAGATGCTGAAGTTCTCAGCTTTTCCCACGTCTTTGTGGGTATTCATTTAAAATTCTCAAGTCCCTGAATGCTGTTTTGCAATTTGGTGGGGATAGATGAAAGAACTACATGGATGTATCTGTGATATGGCATTGAATAAAACAGGTTCATACTTCGCATTACAATGAGCGAGGAAAAACGTCTTGCATTTGATAGATTATCAGTTATTGCGTGCAACTAAAGATGTTTAACGTTGACTTACGTTGCTGTTTGACGTTGAAAGCTAAAGAAGTCAAATCCCGCCATACTGTTGATTTTGAATGCTAAATCAATAAACTAAAAAAAATAATGGGAGCTTTACAAATGAGATACAAATGCACTACAGAAGTGCTAATTACACCAAATCGCAAGAGGAATCATTTTATTACTTGTTGATAACGAACATGAAAACACATCGCCAAAAGTCAAGACGGACGAAATTTGAAAGCGTGCGCGCGCTATTTGTACTTTGCACTCGTGTTACAACTTTGCACTCATTTTCTGCCAATCAGAAGCGCGTAATTATATCATGTACATTGATTGAAAAATTATGATCACGTATATTCTTTAACTATATAAGAAAACTTGTGGCATTCGTTAACATGCACCGTGACAACAAAATACCATCGTTTGCAAATATGGTGTTTTATTGTCCTATATAATGTAAACATCAGCAGCAAGTCCAGCAACATGTTGAAACACAATGATCACTAACAAGTATATTCTCACCACGAGTGTCTGGAAAACTGCTTACCATTTACAGTGGAACAACGAAATAAGCGAAACGCGAAAGTTCTAAACACAGACAAGTGGAATATTCTAACACTCAGAAAGATAGCAAAATCAGACAATGTCCTATAAACACCTCACTCCGACCTGAAACTTGTGCTCCTCCTAAAACTGCCAATCAAACACCAGTTTGACGTAATAAGAAGAGGTCACACAATAGTCACGCAATAGTCTGTTCAAATGGAACTACGAAAACAGAAGGCTCAGAAATCAGGGCCAAAGTCAGAAAAAAATTTATGACCGAGGCAATTTCCATGGT